TTTGGCACTGTTTTAAGGCAGTATGGACTGACGGATTTATTTGCGGATTTGATAGCCAAAAAAATGTTTGGAAGTGAAGTGCACAAAAAGATGTTTGTTTAAAAGGACTTGATAATTCGAAAGATGTAAAGCAAGAGTTTTTAAATGAAGTATATATTATACAACTTACTATTATTGTTATTATTATTCAAGTTTTATTTATTCTAATTAATAATTTAGATTAAAAAGCATGGGGGTGATTCAGCAATTGAAATTTACGGAATAATTAAGAATCCAAATGATAATAATTATGATTGTTATGGAATTCGCAAAGCAGGGAAGTCTCTGAAAATTATTAAATAGCAAATATAACGATTTAGATTGGAACTTCAAAGTTGCTATCATATATTACATAGCTGATGGGTTTAATACAATCCACAAAGCTAATTTAGTGCATAAAGATTTTCATTCCGGAAAAATAGTTAACAAAACATGGCTATTTCTTACATTACTGATTTCGGACCATGTAAGCCACAACCTATGAATAATGATGAAATTAGAAGTAATCTTGCCGAAGTTATAGCTGCTTCCATTGAAACGGTATCTATCAATGATTTTACTTAATCAAAATAAATTTATGTGATACTAACTAATATTTGATAATTGACTGCTTCTACACTTAGTTTCCTTATCTATAATGTTGCTAAAAATCCATCAATTCTTAAAAATATTCATGAAGAAATTTTTAAAGTCTTTGGTTCAGATATAAACTCGGTCGTTACTTACGAAAATCTTGAAAAATGTCATTATATAACAACATTGGTCAAGGAAACGTTACGTCATACAAATCCATCGCCATTAAATATACGCGCTCTTGAAGGTGAAGAAAACACAGATAAATACCGTTGGCCATCTGGAACTTTATTTATAATTGATCACCACAGAATAATGAACATCTATATTAAAGGGTGGTGCTCATTTCACCGACAATCATTTCACCGACAATCATTTCACCGACAATCATTTCACCGACATCTTAGTTCACCGACAATTAATTCACCAGCAAGTTCTTTCACCAACAATTAATTCACCGACAGCTCATTTCACAGACAAAGTAATTCTGGTCATTGTCGTTAAGGTCAGGCTAGAATTAGAATTAGGTTAGTGTAATTTATAAATAAAACTTGTCAGTGAAATGAACTTGTAGGTGAATTAATTGTCGGTGAATTAATTGTTGGTGAATTATTTGTCGGTGAAATGGTGAATTAATTGTCGGTGAACTAAGATGTCGGTGAAGTGATTGTTGGTGAAATGATACGTATCCATATTAAATGGGATGAACCAGAAATCTTTAAACCAGATCTGAATTTTAGTGAAGAACATGGAGGCACAAGCAAGTTTAAGCTAAGCAAGAATGAATTTGTGGCATTTGGTGGAGGTTTGAGGATGTGTCCTGGAAGAAATATTGCATTAATTGAATTAAAATTGCTCGTAGTTTTGTTTTACTGAAAGTATAAGATTGAATTAATAAATGAGAAGGAACCAATTAGATATTCTTTTAGGGGTACCAATAAAGTCCACAAGTTAATGGTTAGAATATCTAAAAAATGACCATACAGCTCATTTTGATTAAACAGATCTGTATTATGTAACAAGAATAATCCCATACTTAATGACTAGAATTAAGTTTTATTATTATAAGTGAGATTGGTCGGACTAAGATATAAGCTTATATTTGTATTTATATACAGTATTTAGCAAGTTAATCATTACTTAAGGTACTCGTAAATTTATATCGGAAGTTATTGAATAAAGAAATGTGATATTTTATATTCATCCCAAATTTTTATATATATCTGCAATAAAATATCTCTTATTTAGAAGAATGTACAGTAGCCATCAAAAGTAACGCCCGATTTATTAGATAAAAATAAAATTTTTATTTATTTTATTTTTGCATTACAAAATATCAAAAATTTTTTTTTATTTAATATCTGTATGCATGGCCCTCTGTAGCAGCCACTTCCTCGATTCTTCATGGCACTGAGTCCACAACCACCTGAAACGTCGACTTATCCACCCTCACCCACTCCTCCTTCAAGGCTATTTTAAGCTGGTCTGCATCTCTTGGAAAGTCTTCGTGATTCTGGATATTGTCTTTTCCAATCTTCCAGATGTTTTCTATCAGATTTAGATCCAAGGATCAGGATGGCCACTTCATATATTTGATTTTTTTGCCTCAAGCCAATCTGTTATCTTGTGAATAGAGGCATTGTCCTGCTGAAAAATTGGATTCGACCCAGTTAACAAATGCACAGTCACAACAAATGGTATGAGGTGATCGTTTAGAACCTTGGTGTAAATTTTTTTACTAATTTTTTGCTTGGGAGCTCTGTATTCATCAAAAAAAAAAACCATGGGACCTTTGATTTCATCAGCGAAGTATGATCACACCATCACTGAAACCCTTCCACTTTTAAAACTTGGTACCAAACACTTGTGTTTATACTGTTCATCTGCATAATGTCATACTCAAACCTGACACAATTGTTTGCCTACTTCTACACTCATTTTATCAGAAAAAATGACATTCCGTCACTCATAAATGCTTCTGTTCTTATTTTTTTTGCACCAAGCTATATGTCTACTTATATTGTCTTATGTTAAAAAAGATTTTACAACAGCAACACGAGAATGAACCCCGAAGTCATGGAGGGCCCTAGCTACTGTCAACACACTGCATTGAAGGTTTAAATCCTTCACAATTCTGCACAGGGGCTGGTGTCTTTCCTTCAATGCTTTTTTAATATGGTCATCTTTTTTTGCTTCTTTAGGGCAGGGGGACATCCAGACCTAGGTAAGTTTTCAGTTTTTTTGGTTCTTTTGTACTTATTCAAGAACCTCCTAACTGTTGTGGGTCACAGCCAATTCGTTCGGCAACCTTCTCAGCACTTATTAACTTGATAAGAGCAAGGATCATTCCTTTCTCTTTTTCTGTTATTTGAGTTTGTGGCATTATCAAAAGAATGTTGGTTTTTTTTTTAAGCTAGGTATTTAGACGTCAAAGAAGCAAAAAAAAAAAAAATTTGCCCCCAAATTACGTAAGTATGGGGGTAAACACAGCCATTTTATTTGCTCAAGTGAGATGATCTGCAGATCGGGCGTTACTTTTGATGGCTACTGTACAGGTAACAAGTGATCCCTTTTATTTTTTTGAAAAATTTTTTTCAAGGGTTTCTCTATTGAATTTTGCAAACTGCAGAATTGAAATACAGATTTCATTGAATTTTTTTAAGAACTTTAAAAAAAATTGCAACACTTTTTATTTATAATGGACGTTTTCTAATTTATATATAAATAAAAAATATTTTCTAATTTATATATTTATAATGAACATTTTCTAATTTATATTAAAAAAGCTGTTCACATATATTAGATCATTAGTTCGAAAAAAAGCAAATACAGTCAGACCTCTCTAAGTGCACGCCCTTGGGACCACACTTTAATAACGTGCATATATAGAATAATAAGAAAGGGTGTATTTATGGAAGTCATGTATATATTTGGGCTGGCACTTGAGCGTGCATTTAGAGAGGGTGTGCACTTGTAGAGGGTGCATTTAGAGAGGTCTGACTGTATAATCTGGTCCTAGATTTTAGAGCACACTCTAAGTGCGCCATTTTGTAATATATTACTATAGCCCTGAGAGGAAGGCTTGTAGAGAGATTTTTGTATATTGTACATTATAAAATTTGATTTAGCGAATACTAATAATGGCATGCCCAATAGTGAGTGGCATGGCAGTCACCTAGATTCTAACGCATTCACGATAATACTAAATGCCTATTTGGTCTTTATAATAATGCTAAAACTTTGAAATCATTAAAATAATTCCAAATGATGATGTAAGTTTGTGATATGCAATTTCTACGCTAAATGCAATAGCGAAAAAAATAGCATTTAGTCGAAGCATCATTATTCTGAGATATCAAAAATCTGACATCGATTAAGAAAGACAAATATTACGTGCTTCTACTTTTCATTATCGACTAAATACTGGAATTAAAACAT